GAGGGCCCTTCCAGCCCCGGCCAGGCTGGGATCCTGTGAAATTGCTTTGTGCTTCCCAACCTGGGCCAAAATTAAAGGAGGCCGAGGTTACCGTAGCAGGAGCTGTAAGTGTGCCCACTTAGGCACTAATGGCCCCTTACGCTTCGGGTTTTGAAGAGCTCCTACCAGGCAATTCCTGCAAATGGCTGACGCGCACGATGGGAGCTTTTGGTGTCTGCGCCGTTTCGATGGTGTCGGGCATCCAGAACAGTGGCGCGGCTCGGAAGGAAACGCCCCTTTGGTCAATCGGAAGCGGTGGGGTTTGCTCCTATAAAGTCCCTTCAGTATCTGTCGGCTGTTGTTCCTAATAATAACAACGTCAAAAGGATGAGACGTGAAAAAATACACCCATAAACTACGCTGGATTTGTTAGGCCAGGCTGAAAGCTTTAGCTGTGAAACGGAGGAGTCTGGGTCCATTTTCTGTTCAGGGCCAGAAGTTAAACTGAATGCTGAGAATACAAACAGGGAGGGCAAGGGAAATGGTGATTCCTTCTATGTTGTTCCCAATTTATTGCTTTATGTATAACGTGTACCTGCGGACGTCGCTGTGTTTTTTCATGGAAGCATTATTAAAACTTCACCTTCCAGCCCGAATCCCAGGGCTAGAGTGGGTTTGTCGGTATTAGCAGGGTTCGCTGAGGACAGAAACAAGCCACAGGACCCTATCAGGGGGATGGAAAGCATCGCTGATGTATACATCAGAGATTATGCAAAACCCTAATCTCCATAGGGGAGGCTGGGTGGAGTCCAACCCAAGACCTAAATTCCCTTGCGTCATTTGTCTCTCTGCTGAGGATATGTGATTAACTTGCAGATCCGGGGCAAGGCAGAAACCAATGGAAGGTTGGGGTTATGCTGGCTGGGTACTGGGGGTTTTCTTTTTTTCTAAGGTTCTGATAAAACATCACATGCAACGCAATGTCCCTGTGTTAAAGCCTGGCTTAGGTGATCTAGCTCTTCGTTTCTGCACTGGTGTGGGGGTTTTGTGAACATTTGGGAATTTCCACGTGCTAATGCGAGCGTTTCCTCTTGTGTGATGGCGCAGGAGGGCACGCAGTTGCCAACATCGAACTCTGAGTGAACTTAAAAGGTCTCTTATTAAAATGCTGTTTTCTTTTTCTTCCCCACATCGCTCTTCAGGTTGCGAAGGTGCTAAAGCATGGCTGACTTGGATCACAACCTCAGCCTGGCGGATGCTCTGACAGAGCCACCTCCCGAGATTGAGGAAGAAGTGAAAAGGGACTTCATTGCCACTCTGGAAGCTGAGAAGTTTGATGACGTGGTTGGGGAAACAGTAGATAAAACAGACTATGTTCCCCTGCTGGACGACGATGATGCAAAAGCCGGGAGCCAGGAACCCAAAAGCAAAGCCCATGCGGACGGTATTCAGGTGGAACGTAAGTGTCTGAAGCCCAGGACCGCAAAGCTGAATCACTTAAGCGTTAGAGAACGCTTTTGCTTATCCTACTATTGTGGCTGGAGAGCTGCTTGGCAGAAAAGGACCTGGGGGTGTTGGTCGCCAGGCGGCTGGATAGGAGCCAGCAGGGTGCCCAGGTGGCCAAGGGGGCCGGCCCAGAGAGGGCGAGCGGGTCTGGGGAGGGGTCTGGAGCCCCAGGCTGCTGGGGAGCGGCTGGGGGAGCTGGGGGGGTTCAGCCTGGAGCAGAGGAGGCTGAGGGGAGCCCTCATCGCTGCCTACAACTGCCTGAGAGGAGGGGGGAGCCGGGGGGGTCGGGCTCTGCTCCCAAGTAACTAGGAATAGGATGAGAAGAAATGGCCTCAGGTTGCCTCAGGGGAGGTTGTGATTGGAATTTAGGAAAAATTTCTTCACTGAAAGGGTTATCAGGCATTGGAACAGGCTGCCCAGAGAGGTGGTGGAGTCCCCATCCCTGGAGTTGTTAAAAAAATGTGTAGACATGGCACTTTGGGACATGGTTTAGTAGGCATGGGGGTGTTGGGTTGACGGTTGGACTTGATGATCTTGGAGGTCTTTTCCAACCTTAATGATTCTACGATTCTGTGATTGCTAGGCCTGCCAAAACAGGGCTTCGGGATGTTGCTGGGTTTAGTCTGAACAACTTATTTTAGAAGCAGAGGTTTCTTGCTTTTCTGCTCTGCCTTCTGTTCGGTTCTTCAGCCCGTAAAGCAAGCGATCCCCACTAGGCTGTTATTTATGTGAATATTTTGTGGGCTGCCTTGGGCTTCTCGGAGCAAGCACCGTCCAAAGCGTGTGACTGCTTTCTGTCTCAAAATAGTGGAACTGTGCAGGATTTGGTAACCGCCACTCCGGGTAACGGCAAGCGCAGGGTGTGGAGGTCGATGACTTGGTGCTGCTGGCGAGGGCCGCGGGTCGCCGTCTTCATAAGCTGTTGGTGAGCTTCAGACTCGAGGGTTTAATACCCAAAGCTTTGCTCCTCCGCTGATCCCAGAGCTTGCTTGCTTTGAATTCTTGCTGCACGCGTGCCCTGGCTCTGTGCCTATACAGTGCAGTGTGGTGCTGTCTCTGCTGGTTATGGACATTTCCTAGCCCAGCTGATGTTTATTGGTGTTAGTAGCTTTATCAGAGCCTACGTGGAAAGGTTTGAACAGATTCTTGCTTCCCTAGCTGAGTAAAAAGGCAAACAGTGAGATGTGGGGGTCATCCCTTGGGTTTCTTTCTCAGCAAACATCGAAATTCTTCGTGTCTTTGCCTGGGTGGTGTCCCCCCCCCCCAGCCGAGTGGGGCTGGTCACCTTGATTATTTTCTTATTTATTTGGCCTTGATCTATGCTATGTAAAAGAAGAAAACCTTTGCTCCTAGGCAGGTAACCTGGTGATTGCTTTCAGGAGAAAGGTTTTGTTTTGTTTTTTTTTTTTTCTTTTTTTGCCTTCAATCTTGATGCTCATCAGTGCTGATGAGAGCGGGGTGTGCAGAAGAGCCGTCATGATCACAGGAGCTCCAGGACAACAGAATGGGGAATTAGTGGGGATTTCTGCTCTGTTTAGGGCACTTATTTGCAGAGTTCAGAAGCGTATCAGGTGCCCTGTGATACAGTAAATGTAACTTTGAATTCTCCATGCTGACATAGCTCATTACGTGGGAACAGAAGGATGGACATGGGCAAAGGGGTTACAAAGCTCTGGTCCATTCATATGTGTTTTATTTTATTTGGTTACAGTACCTCTCGTGGCAAGTGGTTTATATTTTTAGCACTGCGGAACCAGGAGTAACAGAGGAACACGAGGGCTTGGTAACACGGTTTAAGGATGTTTTAAAATTATGCTTGGTTCTAGAAGTTACAGATTCTGCACCAGAATTGCTCATGTTATCATTATATAATTATATATATTATATATGTTATCATTATATATATATAATCATTATATAATTATATGTGTTTTTTATATATATATCTCTCATTATATAATATTGCTTTAAAATAAAAGCTCCTTGAGCTGGGTCCTCCCCAGACCTGTATCCCTCCAGCGCTACCCTCATAACTCACCATTTCAAATAACTTTGGGTTCCTGAAGCCAGTGTAACGAGGCATTTGGGGTTTACATAGTGATTAAAACTCGCCTCGTGAGAAAGCTGCCAGTTCCTGCATGCAGAACCGAGGCCGAGATAGCGGGGTGCCAACGCGGGCTCCCTTTGGGCCAGGCTCCTCACCTGCACCTCCTGGCTCTTCCTCCCCCCGGCTCCCCGGTGCCTCCCCTGGCTGCACAACCAGTTGTTGGCTTCCGCAGAGCTTGTTTCCCTCCTACATGGCAAGGGGGGGGGATTCCGTTTCTTGTTCTTGGTTTGGAGATTTGCTTTTTTTCCCTTTTTTGGGATAGCTGGCGGACCGTTACGAGCAGTATCTAAATCTTTGGCAAGACGAAAACAAGACCCTCCCTGAAGAGAGTGGAGAGCTTGCTTGCCTCGGGTGCGTAAGATGTTTCCAGTGTTCCCGCCTCGGACCAGGAGGCGACGGGCTACCAGGCTCCGCCGTTTCAAACAGCACTGGTTACTACGGGCCAGCCCTCGGATTTGGTCCTGTTATGTCTTGATTTGCTTCATCGGTTTTTCCCATGAGGCGATATTTTCTCCTGTGAGATTTTGCCAATGTTTAGAACTGCTTAAAAAAAAATTATAGTAAAGCTTTTAATGCACTTGCTTTATTGAGGCTATCGAGTAAATGAGCCCGGGCGAGATATTGCAGGGTCCTGACGGGGGTGTTGGGTTTTGTTCTTGTGCGGGGCTTGGAGTGTAATGTGGAGGGGAAGGGACGGGACTGCTGTGCGAAAGGCAGCAAGGGTTCTACATCCCCGGCTCCAAATATGACTGCAGAGAACTTTGTTTTCCCGAGGGAGAAGGGCAGCTTTCATGGATCAGGCTTTTCAGCCCCTGCTTGTTAATTTATTTATGTTAAAAGGCACGAATGTGTTCAGACAGCACTGTCTCTGCTGCTGAGATTGCCTTTCCCCAGTCAGAAGAGGTTTAGTCATACGTCCCGCCAGGCTCTGGCTATCCTCTTGCTGCTCAACATTTTCCTTTCACTTCTTTCCTAAAGCCAGGAGCCAGATGAGACAAGTTTAAGGATCGGATGGGGGGGCCCCATCGTGGACCTGGGTGAGCCACGTGAGTACAGAGAGGTGGGGAAGGAGAGATGTGACGAGCAGTTTTGTGGCCACCTACAAATTTGTCTGCGAATAAAGCCCTAAGAACAGTTAACTACCTTAAAATATCGCTGGAAAGGCATCGCTTAAGCGGAAAGGGGTTTACTCTTTCTAGCACCTGGCTGGAGATCATAATTTGGCAAATTCCGGGGTAATCCTCTTAGGACACCGTGGGCTTTACGTAACGCTGAAGGATGGCTTCGGGTGCGTGCTACGCTGGGCGCAGCTCGCTTTCCTTATCGGTTCCGAGGAATTTAGAGGATGCTGTGGAGCTTCCAGTTAAAGTCACGAGGCTGTAGTGGGCATTTTCGTTGGGGTGCAAGGGACACGCACCCTAAAGCACGAAGGAAGAGGTGTTTGGGTGGGAGCAAGTTCCAGCCGAAGGGCAAACACCGTGCTTTGGAAGCTTAGAACGGGCTGCGGCGCTCCTGCGAAATGTTTTTGCTCAAGACAACAGGACGAGGGGGAATGGTTTAAAGCTGCGCCAGGGCAGGTTTAGGCTAGACATTAGGAAAAACTTCTTCCCCGAAAGGGCTGTCAGGCTCTGGAAGGGGCTGCCCAGGGAGGTGGTCGAGTCCCCATCCCTGGAGGGATTTAAAAGAAGGATGGATGAGGTGCTGAGGGCCAGGGTTTAGTGGTGGGATGGCAGGGTTGGGTTAAAGGTTGGACCCAATGATCTTAAAGGGCTTTTCCAACCAAAGTGATTCTGTGATTCTATAAGCGAGGACCAATGGCGTTTCAGAAACGTTTGGTTGTGCTGTTGCTGAGGAACTGCGTCCAAAGCCAGGTCCGTGGCGTAGCTCCTCGTGGCCGCCTACTCAGTAAATGCACGCTCTGCGTTCTTGCACTCGCTCTGTTCCAAACTTGGGGGTGAATCTTTGTATACGTTCTTTTTTTTTTTTTTAATAGGGAAGCAAATACTGAGTGTGGCGTGTGTGATAAAGTTCTTTTCATTTGCTATTGGCAGGGGCTTTGGGGCTTTCTTCAGGCCCCTGCGTCGCCACAAGATGGCTCTGCTGGCGCTGCGTGACACCGCTGGACCGACGCCGTGGAGTCGGCCGGCCTCCCCAGTCTGGAAGCAAAGCGCAGCTCCGGAGCCTGAAGCCCAAGGCCAAAGCACAGCCCTTCCCTTCCCTTCTCTCTCCCTTCCCACGCCAGGAGCAAGCGGCTTCCTTGCAGCAGGCAGCAGGCTGTGCTTTTGCCTTTAAACACTTGGTCATGCGTGAAGTTGAGGATGGAGGATGTTCCGTGTAGCCCAGCGTTTCAGGGGGATTTAACCAAGGCAGCGAACGGTGTTAAGAGACTTGCATTTTTTATTTCATACTATATATTGAACACCTTCTCCCTCTGGAAGTGTCTCCATCCCCATTCCAGCCCCGACACTGTCCAGACCTCAGGGTGGTACAAATCCCGGCGTTGCCTTTCCGTGCATCCGCGGGCCTGGAGCGTGGTCGGAGCGCACAAGGTCTTTAATCCACCCATGTTCCTTGCAGCGGGTTTCTGTCGGGCGCTTGCTAACCAAACATTAAACACAGCCGAGACCCCCCCCGGCGCTGCCGGAGGTGCGCTCTGAAGCCGCGTGCGTTGCGTGCTCTGCCCCGGATTTCGGCTGCTTTCCCGGCATCGCACGGCCCGGCTGCAGGAGCTGCAGGTTCGTTTCGCCGTAGGGCCTGGTACCAGCCGTCTGTGGGGAGCCTATCTCGGTGGGAGGGTGGGGGTTTTTGTGGTTTTTGTTTAAAACATTGATTAAATTATAAAGCTG